CCTGCCCTCTGAGCTTTATCACTGGGCTAATGCTACCCTTTTGATCTCATGTGGTTGATTGTTCTAAGGAGAGTGCACCTCCCTAGTGTTACTGTTCATCTTATAGGCCTGTTTATTGTTTTGACTGAAAGTTGAACCACAGGGGTGAGTTCAGTTCCAGGCTTGAAGGGTGTCTAAAGACCATAGTCTTGGGGGTTCCACCAGTCTCTATCAGACCGGTGAGAATGGTCTTTTTTACAATTTTGAGTTGTGTTGCACTTTTCTCCCTCTCTGTCTGGACCTTCTATTGTGACTCCTTTCAGAGAAATCGGCAGTGGTAGCAGGGCACCATCCAGTTCTTCTGGTCGCAGGATCTCAGAGGCTGGAGTTCATGTGGTCCATTAGTCCTTTGGACTAATTGTTTCCTTGCATCTTTGATTTTCTTCACTCTGCTTTGCTACGGGTGGGAAGAAAACAATAGTTGCACCTTAAGTGGCTGCTCACAAGCTTTTAAGATCCCAGCCACTACTCACCAAAGTAGGATGTGGAACATTGTCTTTGCGGACTATGGTATACCAATTGACCTTAGTGCCCCCTAAGACTATGCACAACCACTATTAAAAGCAATCTTTTCCCATCTTCTGTTGTATCTCTCTGTGTATGGAGTGAAAGGAAAATAAGTCTTTGCCTGCTGTGGATGTGCTCTGAGCTTCCTCAGAGAAAACCCAAAAAGAAGAAGAAAGGAGAGACACATAGTCTGATTACTCAGGAAAACTTTTTTTTTTTTTTTAAATTTCATAAAATTAGTATATGTTTGCTCTAGAAAGTGCATCTGTTATCTGTTACACAAAGGCACTGCTGTTACTTAATTTTTTATTGTAGTAACATGTTACCTTATTACAATGTATATACAAGATAACATACATACTTTAAAAAAATTCAAACCATACAAATGTTTATAAAGTAAAACTTAATAGTCCCTTTTCTCCCCCAGTCCCACCCTAGTCATAGTCCCTTTTCATAAGAACACCTGTAGACAGTTGGTGTACATCACTCCAGACCTGCGTCTATTATGCATAGTCACATGTCATTCTGCATGCACACATACCCCCATACACACACATACATACAGGATAATTTTTTAAAATAAATAGGATCACAGCATTCATTAGTTTTCAAATTGCTGTTTTCACAGACTAAAATATTCTTGACATCTTTTCATGTCAAAATTTTTCTCATTCATTCTAATGATACTTTTTATATTCTATACCATAGATAGACTATAATTTATTTAACCATTCCACTATAGGGGTCACCTAGAATCTTTTGACTGTTTTGCTGACATTATTGCAGTAAACGTTTTGGAACCTGATATTTTGGGCATTTTTGCAACAATATCTTGCTTTGCTTTTAGCCTGGCAAGTTTGTTTGGAACTCTAGGGTAAAATTGTAATATGGTGAACTATGAGTTGAATCCAGCCCATTAATATTTTGTGTATACCTACCGATTTTTTTTAAATACTGGGTTAATTGCCAATATTTAAAGATTATGCATTTTCACATAAAAATCTGAGTTCCTGGCATCTTTTGACAGATCAGACAATCAGTCCACACTGGGCCAACATCTGTGTGGGCTGACCCTGGCTGAAGCTAAGTAGCATCTGCCGCCTACAGATGAGGCATGTACTTTGTAAATTGCCAACATTTCCATTATTTCCCATTGGTCTCCTATGTCCTGAGCATTAGTGGCCATTCATTTCAATTTGTGATTCTTGCCTTGGCCCATATGGATCCGTGAGTCTTACCATCAGCTCTTAGGCCTGATCCCTTTAGCTGTTATGTGCCATTGAGTCGATTTTCAACTCATAACCACCCCATGTGACAGAGTAGAACTGCTCATAGAGTTTCTTAGGCTACAGGAAGGTGGGGCAATATCCTTTCATAGAGATACTGCCTCGGAAACCCAAGGAGGGGTCGCTATGGGTTGTGACCTACTTGACGGCAGTGAGTTTGGTTTTTGGTTTAATCTTTGTGGAAACATATTGCCAGGTAGGTTCGAAGAGCCAATCTTTTGGTTAGCAGCTGAGTATTTAACCAGGACTCCTTTTACTTAGTCATAAGGTTTTCCAACTTGCATTATTGACATTTGGAGTTCTTCATTTTTGGGGGCTATGCCTTTCATTAAGGAGCTCTGGTGGTGCAGTGGTGGTTGCTGTGAGTCAGATGGTTTTTGGTTTGGTATGCCACACATTACTGGAAATTTAGCATTCTTGACTTCCAAATACTAAATGCCAGTAGCACTTCCTCCATCCTTCTCTTTTCATGAGACAACCCACAATTCCCCTACATATTTTTCATACTTCCCAGTGGGAAGTATCACAGAACTTCCTCTCACGGCTGATATAAGATGTATAGGCGGCCTTTAGAACTGTTTTAAGTCTACAATTTGAAAAGGCTGTGTGGCTTACCTGTTCCAAGAGTGGCATATGTTCTCTAAGTAGGAATAGAAGATGCTTAAGTATAGAGATAGGGTGGGTTGACTTTTCCTGGAGACCCTTGAAGACCTTTATCTCTAAAACCCTAAGAAGATGGTGCTGCATGTTTTTTCCTCACCATGTTGTCTGGAATCCTGATGTTTTTTTTTCCCTCTGATTAGTTTCCATAAAGCTTTGTTTCTGGATGGTCACTCACAGAATTGGGAAACATTACCACTTTCCTTAAGATATGTTTGAAAGTACACACACACACACACACACATACATACACACTTACATGCCTTCTATGGACCACAAATAACAAATAGAGAAGAGAGGGAAGGGTTCAAGTTTAAAATCAACAGCTCTTGATCATGTTATTATAATGTCGTTGCTATAGGCAATTCTTTCAAAGCTAAACGAACACACCCTTCTGCTTTCTTTTGAGCAATAGTGATAAAAACCTAGTGCAGACTATATTTATCTAAAGGAATATGCTTGTGTGATTCAAA